CCCCATCATTGGTGTCAGTGGGAGGAATAGTGCCCCATCATTGGTATCAGTGGGAGGAATAGTGCCCCATCATTGGTGTCAGTGGGAGGAATAGTGCCCAATCATTGGTGTCAGTGGGAGGAATAGTGCCCCATCATTGGTATCACTGGGAGGAATAGTGCCCCATCGTTGGTGTCAGTGGGAGGAATAGTGCCCCATCATTGATATCAGTGGGAGGAATAGTGCCCCATCATTGGTGTCAGTGGGAGGAATAGTGCCCCATCATTGGTATCAGTGGGGGGAATAGTGCCCCATCATTGGTGTCAGTGGGAGGAATAGTGCCCCATCATTGGTGTCAGTGGGAGGAATAGTGCCCCATCATTGGTATCACTGGGAGGAATAGTGCCCCATCGTTGGTGTCAGTGGGAGGAATAATGCCCCATCATTAGTATCAGTGGGAGGAATAGTGCCCCATCATTGGTGTCAGTGGGAGGAATAGTGCCCCATCATTGGTGTCAGTGGGAGGAATAGTGCCCCGTCATTGGTGTCAGTGGGAGGAATAATGCCCCATCATTAGTATCAGTGACACCAATGATGCGGCACTATTCCTCCCACTGACACCAATGACACTTGCTGACCCCTGTTGCAGTATGGTGCTGCTGCAGCCAGCATATGTGGTTGCAGCAGCACCTCTGCACTGCACACTTACCGGCTTTTCCCTCACTCGATTTTCGCGGGTCCGCTCGGCTCCGCCTCCTCACCCGTGATTGGCCGCCTGTGTACCTTTCCTGAGCTACAGTTCTGGCGGCCAATCACTGGTGAGGAGGCGGAGCCTCGCGGCAGGAGTGAGGGAGTGGCCGGAGTGACGGAAGGAGCAGCGCTTCCTGGATGGATCATTGTGGGAGCCACGTAAGAGACAGCAGCCCTCTGCCCACCCCTGTACGCGCCCCCCTTGACGGAGCCTCGCGCCCCCCCTGCAGACGTTTGACTCGAGTATAAGCCGAGGGGGCCGTTTTTCAGCACAAAAAATGTGCTGAAAAACTCGGCTTATACTCGAGTATATACGGTAGGTATTCTACTCACAAAATGATAATACAGTCAAAGGCACATCGTGAAACAACTGCTCTGTCCAATCCGCACTACGTGTGTGTCCGTAATGGGAACTCTGGACCTAACAGGCTGACACGTTTCGAGGACTTGCTTTTTCCTCAGAGCCAACTCCTCAGAGGCAAGTCCTCGAAAAGCAGGGAAAGCTCTCTAGCAGCACACAAAAAACCGAATGTGTGTTTTAAACCTTCCTTACGAAATACTAAAACATAAAGTTGTGACTATGCAAACACCCAGCTGTATATCCCCCCTCATGCTATGGCATCCTAGTTAACCATATCGTTCACACATAGTCAAGGCCAGACAAAGATCTGCTTAATTATTTAAACAAAAGACATTTTCTTGCACTTTAAATACGTATTTAAATAGAAAAAAATGACCTATAGAAGAACTAATTGCCCTCCACCCTGACCATCTCAAGCCCTTACAATATTAAATCATAAAAAAGTAAATCATAAAAATCCAACCCTACAACAGGCTAACGTAGTCCAATCACATGGCCAGATGTTATGTTGTTGACCTCCTTATCTCAACTGAAGGGAAGGGAGAGGGAAAGGGATTGGCTAGCTACGTCTGAATTTCAGTCTCCTAAACTCTAGATCCCCAACCTCCATGGGACCCCAGACTAGTATTCTCTGCAGAACACGTTCATAATTCAGGGATTTTTGTTCAGTTATTGTAAGGGAAAAGTATGGTCAGAATGTAGGGGAATATTTTCTCTGTTTAAAGCTGAAAACACCAGGTTAACATAATGGATAGCAAAAGTTGAATGTACTGTTCTAAAAAAAAATAGCGATAAGATAAAAAAACTTCAGCATAAACCAAAACCATGGACCTTTTCCAGAGATAAAAATCCACAAATATCTTCAAAACTAAACTGATTCCTGGAAACAAACCAATTATGCAAACATGTACACATTTAAAATGTTCTAACTGATTTAAGGTGGAAAGGTGGAACTTAAGATAAAAATGTGTAACGTTAAAAAAAGGTATCCAAGGCTGGTTTACTGTGTTTATAATCGACAAGTTCCTCCAACAAAAAGTGCAGGCACATCAGTAAACATTGCTACCCCAGACCTAAACAGAGGTCCTCTCCATGCTGATGGATTGCAGTCCTGGGTCTTCTTTTAGCAGTAATCCGCTCAGGAATGTGCAGAGCCTGGCACAGAGTACCAGGATATGCCAGCATTCCCCCAGCCAGGCTCAGAGTACCAGGACATGCCAGCATTCCCCCAGCCAGGCTCAGAGTACCAGGACATGCCAGCATTCCCCCAGCCAGGCTCAGAGTACCAGGACATGCCAGCATTCCACCAGCCTGGCACAGAGTACCAGGACATGCCAGCATCTCTCCAGCCAGGCACAGAGTACCAGGGCATGCCAGCATTCCTCCAGCCTGGCACAGGGTACCAGGACATGCCAGCATTCCTCCAGCCAGGCACAGAGTACCAGGACATTCCAGCATTCCCCCAGCCTGGCACAGAGTACCAGGACATGCTAGCATTCCCCCAGCCAGCCACAGAGTACCAGGACATGCTAGCATTCCTCCAGCCAGGCACAGAGTACCAGGACATGCTAGCATTCCCCCAGCCTGGCACAGAGTACTAGGGCATGCCAGCATTCCTCCAGCCAGGCACAGAGTACCAGGACATTCCAGCATTCCTCCAGCCAGGCACAGGGTACCAGGACATTCCAGCATTCCCCCAGCCTGGCACAGAGTACCAGGACATGCCAGCATTCCCCCAGCCTGGCACAGAGTACCAGGACATGCTAGCATTCCCCCAGCCAGCCACAGAGTACCAGGACATGCTAGCATTCCTCCAGCCAGGCACAGAGTACCAGGACATGCTAGCATTCCCCCAGCCTGGCACAGAGTACTAGGGCATGCCAGCATTCCTCCAGCCAGGCACAGAGTACCAGGACATTCCAGCATTCCTCCAGCCAGGCACAGGGTACCAGGACATTCCAGCATTCCCCCAGCCTGGCACAGAGTTCCAGGACATGCCAGCATTCCCCCAGCCTGGCACAGAGTACCAGAGCATGCCAGCATTCCCCCAGCCTGGCACAGAGTACCAGGACATGCCAGCATTCCTCCAGCCTGGCACAGGGTACCAGGACATGCCAGCATTCCTCCAGCCTGGCAAAGAGGACAAGGACATTCCAGCATTCCCCCAGTCTGGCACAGAGTACCAGGGCATGCCAGCATTCCTCCAGCCTGGCACAGGGTACCAGGACATGCCAGCATTCCTCCAGCCAGGCACAGAGTACCAGGACATGCCAGCATTCCTCCAGCCTGGCACAGGGTACCAGGACATGCCAGCATTCCTCCAGCCTGGCACAGGGTACCAGGACATGCCAGCATTCCTCCAGCCTGGCACAGGGTACCAGGACATGCCAGCATTCCTCCAGCTAGGCACAGAGTACCAGGACATTCCAGCATTCCTCCAGCCAGGACATGCCAGCATACCTCCAGCCAGGCACAGAGTACCAGGGCATACCATAAGCCAGGCACAGTGTACCAAGACAATCCAGTATTCCTCCAGCCAGGCACAGAGTGCCAGGCCATACCAGTAGTTCTTCAGGCAGGCACAGAGTACCAGGAAATGCCAGTAGTTCTCCAGCCTGGCACAGAATATAAGGGCATGCCATAAATCAGGCACAAAGTACTAGGACATACCAGTAATCCTTCAGCCAGGCACAGAGCACTAGGGCATTCCTCCTGCCAGGCACACAGCACCAAGATATTCCAGTAATCCTCCAGCCAGGTACAGAGTACTACAACATTCCACCAGCCAGGCAGAGTATCAGGGCATGCCATGAGCCTGGCATAGAGTATCAGGACATTCCTCCAGCCAGGCAGAGAATATCAGGACATCCCTCCAGCCAGGCAGAGTATCAGGACATTCCTCCAGCCTGGCACAGCGTATTAGGACATTCCTCCAGCCAGGCACAGAGTATCGGGACATTCCTCCAGCCAGGCACAGAGTATCGGGACATTCCTCCAGCCAGGCACAGAGTATCGGGACATTCATCCAGGCAGACACAGAGTATCGGGACATTCATCCAGGCAGACACAGAGTATCGGGACATTCATCCAGCCAGGCACAGAGTATCGGGACATTCCTCCAGCCAGACACAGAGTATCGGGACATTCCTCCAGCCAGGCACAGAGTATCGGGACATTCATCCAGGGCAGACACAGAGTATCGGGACATTCATCCAGGCAGACACAGAGTATCGGGACATTCATCCAGCCAGGCACAGAGTATCGGGACATTCCTCCAGCCAGACACAGAGTATCGGGACATTCATCCAGCCAGGCACAGAGTATCGGGACATTCCTCCAACCAGGCACAGAGTATCGGGACATTCCTTAAGGCAGGTACTGAGTATCGGAACATTCCTCCAGCCAGGCACAGAGTATCGGGACATGCCAATCATCTTCCAGCCAGGCACAGGCTATGAGGGAATGCCATGAGCCAGGCACAGAAATCCAATGTGGACACACAGACACATTACCTCCCAGATGTCAGGCAGCAGATCCAAGCACGGTCAGGGCAGAGTCGGCATGTTTGCTGTCAATCAGACAGGAGAGATCCCGGGCTCATAGTTTCAGTTGTATTGCGCAGACCCTCCTTGGTGATCATCCCTCCATCCATCCCTCCGTCCATGCAGGGGCTGTAGTCCAGAGGCTCCCACGTGCAGTGGATGGGGTGTGGAGGCCAGGCTGACATGCAGTGGATGTTCTCTCCCAGGGCAGGGCTGAGATCAGACACATACACATACCCTCACCTCCCCAGTGCTCATGTCATCACAGCTAATCAGGAATCTCCAACTGCACAGTCAAAACTTCCTGCCAGAAGAATAAGCCCATGCTCTTTGTTTTTTTTACAATTCAAGCTGGTGACACAACGGCTACTGTCGGTCATTGTTTTCAACAAGATGACTTTTCAATAGGTTTTGTTTTTCTTTTTAATGTATGGCTCAGCCGGTAGTAGTGTGCATGTGATGACTGTGTGTACACCATGGCAGCGTTGTGCTTGTTGTATGCTTTCATCGTCAGCGCAGAATGACTAGTGCGGGGGCGGACTGACCATTTGGAAACTCGGCCACTGCCCGGGGTCAGTAGGGGGCCCCATGAGGTGCCCCTGGTACCCTTTTCATAGACTTTTTTGAGTTTGGGCAAGGACACAGGGGCCCCATGATCCCCTATTGCTGGGGGCCCCATAAATTGTCAGACTGCCCCTGCTAGTCAGATTTTATAGAAAGGTCACAGAGATTGGTACATAATGAGGCCATATCAGCCTGTCATCCATCTAGGTGTTGATGGTCATACGCGCTTCAATTTTACTATGCAATCAATGTAAGATTCAAATCAGAAACCAAGCACATAGTCACATCTCTTTAGATTGTTTTAGACTTTTTGACTAGTTTAGATCAGATTCAATCAGAGTCGATCATCCGGGGCAGAAAATTAGTGATCGCTTTGCATCAATCGGCAGCACTTTGTTCGTGAATACGATCGTATTTTGATTGAGCAGATTATGAGATTGCAGGGTGGAAACAGAAATGTGATCAACAATTTATGATCAGATCCTAAAAGAGAAATAGGGATTTAATTTTTTTCCCTAATTATACTTACCTAGGTGAATGCAGCATCTGTCCCCATCCAGCTCTGTGTGAGAACTCAGCAATCACATGACTGCTGATCACTGAGTCATAGCCGCTCTGAGCAAAGAGCGGTGACTGTCGGTCACTGGAGCGCCGAGCTGTGGATGGGGAGGGAGCGGCTAGCTCAGGCTCTTAGCGGCTCACTGAGAGGCTGAGCCAGGTACCGCTCAAGACTCTGGGGTGGATCCCGACTTTAAAGTCGGGATCTTTCCTTAGCCTGGACCGGCTGAGTGAAGTCAGCTGACAGCAGGTGTCAGCCCACTATCAGCTGAACACACGTCACAGGAGTGCAAAATGATCCACAGGAGAAGTACAGCCAAAACAGCTTTGGCTGTACTTCTTTTAACTATCAAGCAAAATCCACTTTCCCATGTGTGCCACATTGATTGAATGGGTTCACGATTACAGATTGATTATTCTTATCAGAAGATATCGATCAGAGAAGAAAATTATCATTTATCAAAGTGTGTATGACCACCAATAGCAATGGCAAACATTAACTCACTAGATGCACTACAGTTGCAAGAAAAAGTATGTAAACCCCTTGGGATTACGTGATGCCATGGAGTTTTGCATGAATTGGGCATAAAATGTGCTCTGAATGTCATCTAAATCACAACAATAGAAGAACACAGTCTGTTGAACATAATATTACACAAACATTAGATGTTGCCATGGTTTAATTGCACATAACATGTAAACATTCACAGTGCAGGGAGGAAAAAGTATGTTAACCTTTGGACTTAATAACTGGTTGACCCTCCTGTGGCAGCAATAACCTCAACCAAACGTTTCCTGTAGTTGCAGATCAGACCTGCACAACGATCTGGAGTAATTTTGGACCACTCCTCTTCACAAAACTTTTTCAATGTAGCAATATTCTTGGGATGTCTGGTGTGAATCGCTCTCTTAAGGTCATGCCACAGCATTTCAATCGGGTTGAGGTCAGGACTCTGACTGGGCCACTCCAGGAGGCGTATTCTGTGCTGTTGCAGCCATTGTTTTGTTGAATTACTTGTATGCTTTGGGTCATTGTCCTGTTGCATTACCCATCCTCTGCGGAGCTTCAGTTGGCGGACAGATGGTCATATGTTTTCCTGCAAAATGTCTTGATAAACTCTGGAATTCATTTTCCCATCAATGACAACAATCCGTCCAGGCCCTGAGGCAGCAAAGCAGACCCAAACCATGATGCTCCCTCCGCCATGTTTTACAGTGGGGATGAGGTTTTGATGTTGGTGTGCTGTGCCTTTTTTTTCTCCACACATAGTGTTGTGTGTTCTTCCCAAACAACTCAATCTTGGTTTCATCTGTCCACAGTATATTTTGCCAGTAGTGCTGTGGAACATCCAGGTGCTCTTTTGCAAACTTCAATCGTGCTGCAATATTCTTTTTCGACAGCAATGGCTTCCTCCGTGGTGTCCTCCCATGTACTCCATTCTTGCTTAATGTTTTCCTTATTGTAGATGTGTCAACAAAAATGTTAGCATGTGCCAGAGATTTCTATAGGTCTTTAGCTGACACTCTGGGATTCTTCTTTACCTCATGCAGCATTCTGCGCTGTGCTGTTGCAGTCATTTTTACAGGACGACCACGCCTAGGGAGAGTAGCAACAGTGCTAAGCTTTCTCCATTTGTAGACAGTCTGTCTTACCGTGGACACATAAACATCAAGGCTTTTGGAGATACTTTTGTAACCCTTTCCAGCTTCATGCAAGTCAACAATTCTTGATCATAGGTCTTCTGAGAGCTCTTTTCTGCGAGGCATGGTTCACATCAGACAGGGCTTCTTGAAACCAGTAAACCCAAAACAGGTGTGTGTTTTTTAAGGGTAGGACAGCTGTCAGCAACACATCCAATATCATCACACTGATTGGAGTCAAGGTTGGCTCACTCCTGGCTCCAATTAGCTCTGGGAGAAGTCATTAAGCTAGGGCCTCACATACTTTTTCCTCCCTGCACTGTGAATGTTTACATGTTATGTGCAATTAAACCATGGCAACATCTAATGTTTGTGTAGTATTATGTTCAGCAGACTGTGTTCTTCTATTGTTGTGACTTAGATGACGTTCAGAGCACATTTTATGCCCAATTCATGCAAAACTCCGCGTAATCCCAAGGGGTTCACATACTTTTTCTTGCAACTGTAGGTATCATTCCATTGTTTAGAAGTGATCAACAAAAGTCCTAGCTGCCACAGTCCCAAACCAGAGATCTCAATAAATCGATTGAATGATGGGTCTGTGTTTTTTTCAATCTCAATAAATTGATTGAATGATGGGTCTGTGTTTTTTTCAATCTCAATAAATTGATTGAATGATGGGTCTGTGGGTTTTTTTCTTTACACATGATTAAAGTGGTTCTACAGCTATAATGTTTTTTTTTCCTTAATGTATGCTATGCATTAAGGCAGTGATCTCCAAATTGTGGCCCTGGGGCTGGATGCGGCCCTTTGCTTGCCTTTATCTGGTCCTTGAGGCATTATTCCTGCCACTGACACCAGCAATGGGGAATAATTCCTACCACTGACACCAACAATGGGCACTATTCCTTTCACTCACACCAACAATGGGGCACAATTCCTTCTACCGAGAACTAAAATCAGACACTATTCCACCAACTATTTCTCCCCCTTATACCAAAGATTGGGCACTGTTTACTCCCACTGAGCACAATCTGGGCCCCACTTGTAGCAATTGTGCACACAGAGATGGATGTGGTCATCCATCTTGCTAAGGATCCTCCATCTTGTATCTCTCTCCCTCCAATCCCCCCCCCTCCCTCTCTTTTGAGGGACACGTGGTCCCTGTGTGCTGGGTTCAGAAGTGCACAGGCAATCAGGCACAGCGGGACAGCTTCATGGTTATAAATCCCAAATTAGCTGGTGCCCAGGTGTCTGTTAGCTTCTCAATCTGAAATAATCATAAAGCCATAAACCAGTCCTTCACGGGACTTCAAAGACATTCCAGCTAGCCGTAAAACAGACAACACATTTAAAACCCACTTTCCCATATAATTTTATATCTGGAGATAGGAATTAATTACATAAAATTAAAGCATATATTTGGATCGCTCAGTTTAATGCGAGTCGTCTGATATCTTACACCCCTCGTTGAAGTCTACAGGAGAGCAGAAAGCCATATAGTTCTAGCTGGAATAGTGAACTATGCCATGTTTGATATCTAGACGTTCAGCAGATGATTCTGCATATTAATCTACCTATGGATAGAATGTTACATGTACCTAGGGAAGGTTATTGACCCTGGTATAACTTGGGAGGGATTTTGGTTCTAGCTTGGGTCTCTGCCTAGACACCCCCCCTCCCCAAATAAGGCGATTGGCCCTTGGCTTCAGAGACACCCCCTGCTGGAGGCCTCAAAATAGGTTGTCAGGCCTGAGGGAAAAAATTTGAAGAATTCTCCCTTTTAACATTGGAACCAACTTGGGAGACAGTACCCTTTTGCTCTGAAACCTGATCTGCTTAACCCAGGACTTTTGGCAAGTACTCTACCTCTCTAAACTTCTTTCTGTTATCTCTTTGCTGTGTTATTGCTTTCTGTATTTATATATATATATTGGCTACATCTTTCTCTGTAAATATTTTTATTGCACCCTTTTGACCTTTTTAGTAATAAATCCTATTATCTGAAAAGTGTTGAACTGTTTATAAAGCTCTTTAATGCAAACTAAGAATCCCTGTCTCTGAAGAGCGCTAATGTGTGTTTGAAACCTCTATATATCTCTGCCTGCGGTGACAGGGGTATACAGACGATTATTAAAACATCATAGTGTTATTGCTAATATTGGCAAGTTTCCTCCTTTTCTCTACAAAAAGGCGGTGGTGGCAGTGTGAAGGGTTAATTGCGTAATTAACCTGACTCAGTAACAATCGCTCTGAGGTTGCTGGCACATAGATTGTGGTCCATTAGCTGTAAAATCTTTGTGCAGGGTGTAGCTGCGCCTGACATTGTTATGCACGTGACAGCATGGTTTTAAATTGGCTAGTCCTTCGGTCACGAGTTGGTGAGAAGGGCTGGGGGTCTGATGCCGCGATCGTCACACCCCTAAAGTCTGAAGGCCAGTAAGCTAGCCCTTTCTTTAGAAAGCTTGGAGACCCCCTGCATTAAGGTAAAAAAAACCCTCTGTGCCTGGGATCCCGCACAACCCCCCTTATACTTACCTGAACCCCATCAGAATCCAGCGCTGTGCATGAGAGCAGCGGCCCTCTCTGCTCTGTCCCTCCTCACAGGGCAGATCCATAGCAGCGGGAGCCATTGGCTGCTGTCTATCAAACTCTGTGATGAGGGAGCGGGGGGTCAGGGTTGTGCCCCACTGTCTGTGTTCTTTTTGCTCCTGTACCTTTAAGGAGGGGTGGACTCCCTCAAGATCACCTGCCTTTGGTCTATCCATTAAATACATGTGCCTTTACTATGAGGACTCCCAAAATTTGTAGAGTTAGGACCACAGAATGTCGAGGTGCTGTGATGTTGCTCACGTATGTATTTGCAAATGTGTGCAACTAAACCCGTTTTTAAAGGCATATTGTTAGACAGGTTAATTTGGTTGTTGGCTGGCTGGCTGGCAAGTTGAACTGGCTATCTTATCCCCCTTTTTGATAAGTGATACCTATCCATGTTCCTTGTGGAAAAAAGCCATTGTTAAACTGGGGCTGACTGACAAGTTGAACTGGGTAGCTTTCGTAGTTTGTTTAATGCCTGTCCATGTTCCCTGCTGTAAAAGCCAGTTATAGACCGGGGCAATGACCAACTTCTTTCGTATGCTGTCTATCAAACTCTGTGATGAGGGAATGGGGGTCAGGGCTGTGCCCCACTGTCTGTGTCTATGGACAAAGGCAGCGGGGCTCAGAAGCGAGCCCACACGAGTGCCCCCACTTCCTATGGGCACACTGGCTGAAGAGGAGGAGCCAGAAGCACCAGTGGGGGACCAGGGAGAGGGGGATCAGGGCTGCTCTTTGCAAAACCTTTGCACAGAGCAAGCATTATGACGTTTGCTATTTTAATTAAAAAACAGCCGAAGCTTTGCAATCACTTTCAAATAACATTCACTTTATTTACTAACACTCATTTTGCAAAATAAACATTTACTTTGCTGGGTGAACAGCCTTTTTACTTCTTTATTGAATCAACCTCACTGTAGTTTTGTTTTATCTAGTGTTTTCCTTTCCTTGATCTTTACAGTTAAAGCCCAACTCCAGGAAAAGTAGAAATCCTCCCTTTCAGGGGGGGCTGCTCCTGCACTGCAAGGGTTAAATGCATGATTAGGTCTTGGAGATGAGAAAAGCAGTTTTACGTAAGCAGCCCTTACAAGGATGGAAATGTATCCAGTTCAGCAGGAACTGGCCGAATTTCGATCCGTGTATAGGCATTGTGATTGTACAGAAGTCGATCTACCAATCGACTTTTGTACAACCTCCTTGTCAAGTTTTTCCTGCTCAATCAGAGCTATAGTGGGCAGCACTGATCAGTGTATTTTGATGGCGGAGAAGTCTCCTCAGAGGGGAGGATTGTGGATGGTGAATGTTGGAATGTGTGGATGTGGGGATCAGGGCAGTTTTTTTATTTGCTCAACCCACTGGTTAAACAAAAAAAAATTACTTGTGTATGCAGGGCTGATGTTAGAAACCACTGGGCCCCATACAGCCAACCTGACAGGGCCCTGCCCCCCCCAACCCCCCCCCCATATTGCTTCAGTTATGAATGAACACAGTGAGTGATCAGTGCTGTTCATTCATTGTGTTCATTCAGGAAAGGACAGGACTCGCAAATGTGACATATTTACCGGACCCTTCCCCCACTCTCCACCCTGAAAGATCCTGTTGTGTGCTTGCAGCTGGTGGTGGGAAGGAAAGGAGGGAATCCAACAGCTGTGAGGGGGAAACTTATGGTGCACAAGGATGAAGATGGGTGCGGTGGGGGAGGGCAATTGCTGGAACTGATCCCCTGTATGGCTCTCTCTACAACAGGTGAAAGACAGTGGGAGGGAGAGAAGATGCCAGCTTTAAGCTGCTGCAGAGAGAGCCATACAGGTGATTGGTTCCAGCAAATGCCCTCCATGCTGTGCTGATCACCTTCCCTGTCCACATCCCATTCACCTAGTTGCCTGGGGCCCCCCTGCTGGCCTGGGCCCCGTACAGGAGGACTGGTGGTACCCCCTTATCCACGGCCCTGTGTGTATGGGTTGCCTTACGTAATCCTCCACTCTCCAAGTAGACGGTGCTCCTCCAGGCTTCAGCAGTGGACTGTTCCCTTGGCATCCTCATGTCCAGTGCAGGGCTTTGGGCGTCAGAGGGCAGCAGACTGCTGGAGGGTGGAGGAGGCTCCCAGTACCATTCTAGCAGCTTGTTGAAATCTGTGGAAGCAGAAGAACAGGCAAGTAAATTTGATTCTCTCGGCCCCCTAGATGTAAATGAGCATTTAACCCTTGTAGTGCAGGAGAGAGGATTTTTACATTCTCTGGAGTTCAGCTTTAAATGGATCAAGATCAAATGGAATAATAGCTGTACAAAGGCAGTTGTACCCCTGAAAAGTATGGGTATTAATCATCTTCTGTAGCATCAGGATTCTCATCGTGCCCTGTATATTGGTAAAATGTACATGGTGGTACACAGACTGAATTGAAGCTATGTTCAATATTTGGGCAGTATTTAGTATACTTACTGCAGGCCTCCATCAATAGATTGACAGTCTGAGAACAACCTTCAACTAAATTCAGGGACTCAGAGGGCACAATGGGTGGACTGGAGAAATTTGAAGAAGGTGCTGTGTAGCTTCTCACTTGAGCAGCAAGGTCTAGGTAAGTACATGATTTTAGCAAAATGCTCAGTGCAGGGTGGGAGGCTGTGCTTATCTTTTGACTGAAGGAATGTTGAACCTACAAGACGCTATCCTGTGCATCTCCAGGAACTAACAGGCTGCCTTGGGTAGGGAGTGAAAGTGCTGGGATAGGATCCAGAACATGCAGTCAGGGTTTGATGCTGACCACAAAACATTATAAGTATGTTTTCTCTTCAGAAGCAAGCCAAGATAACCAAGAGCATGTTCTAGACAAAAGTGTTCTCATATTTTTATGTCCATTTTAGACTACTTCAAAGTCTGAAGTAATGGAGGTCAGTCAACATGATATTTGTAACAAGCCTTGGCAGCTAAAGTATAACTAAAGGCAATGTTTTTGTTCAGTGTTGGATGGAATGGAGAGAGATTAGAACATCTGTTGGGTTTTTATTGCCGTCTATGCCCCCCTTAGAGAGAGTCACCCTCTCTATTTGTCCCGTTTACTGCTATCCCCCAAAATGGAAAATAATTCCAAATGATGGGCTGTCACCAGAACAGGAATAAAGGAGAAATCTTACAATGGGGACTCTAGTTTGGATGACCAAGGAGAAAACAAGGAATTCCCTCATTTTAGAGAGTTTTCCTATTACTTCCTGTTTTGGCTATGGGACAGGAAGTGAAGGGAAATCTCCAGAATGAGACACAGATGACAAAAAGAAACCAAACTGACAGGGCTTATAACCTTCTCTTACTCAATCCATATGCAAAATATGTGTTTTAGTTCTACTTTAGGCCTGGTTCACACCAATGCATTTTTTAGTGCTTTTTGCAGAAACTCACTACAGTCCATTTCACATGCTGTCCTATGGGACACGTTCACATCTATGCTTTTTTGAACAGCTGCATTTTTGTAATGGGTCAGGGACATTTTTAAAAGCAAAAAGTAGCTTTTGTTCAATGGAGAAGTTGTTAAAATATAGTGTATTTTTGCCGCGTTTATGTTTATTTTGCATTTTTATTCTGCCCAGCAACAAAAACATTTCCCCTTTAACAAAAAAACAAAAAAAACCCCCAAAAAACGGATATAATATAGAGAAAAAAAAAAAAAAAAAAACCCCAGCAAAAATGTGTAAAAATGCAAAGTGAAATACAAAAATCATTGCAAAAACGGATCAAAGCATTTTGCATTGATGTGTCCCAGGCCTTAAGGGCTCATGCACACAGTCAAAAAAAGTGCAGCATTTTTATCTAATGATGGTTTGGGGAATCTGAAAACGGCTATATAGAATATTATGGAATGCTGCACACCGCTGAGTAATAGTTACCCCTCCCCAGTCACAGAGTACCTATGCCCCCTCATCTTCCTCTACAGAGCATCAGTGCCTGTCCCTCTTGCCTGACATGACAACATCCTGGCACAGGGAGGCAGCAGTAAGGGACACAAAACTTGGAGAGGTAAGAAGTCTGCTGCACACCAATGACACCAATATCCGCACCCTAACCTCATCAACAGATTACAAGTGCTCTCATCCCTCCATAGAGTAACAGTGCTCTCATCTCCCTCCAGAGAGCAACAATGGACCTCCATATCCTTCTACAGAGCATCAGTGCCCCTCCCTCTTGCCTGACATGACAACATCCTGGCACAGGGAGGCAGCTGTAAGGGACGCAAAACTTGGAGAGGTAAGAAGTCTGCTGCACACCAATGACACCAATGTCCGCACCCTAATCTCACCAACAGAGTACAAGTGCTCTCATCCCTCCATAGAGTAACAGTGCTCTCATCTCCCTCCAGAGAGCACCAATGGACCCCCATATCCATCTACAGAGCTTCAGTGCCCCCCTCCACAGTATACTTAGGCATATCCCCTTTGCCACCAGAGGGCACCAGTGCCCCCCCTTCCCTCACTGAGCAACATTGCCCCCTTCTACCTCCGAGTGTACCAATGCCCCTATTTCCCCTCACTGGAGCATTTTTTCCCATTAAGCACCCATGTTGAGCATTGTTTTCCTCCCACTGACAGCTGACTCCAGGCATCGTTTTTTCTTTCAACAACATGCATATTTCTTTCCACTGATGACAATCGGTATTGGCCTTTTATACCTCCTTTTCCTCCTGCTGACCTGTAATACAAGGTGCTTACTGCTGTGCATTACATGCTCCAGAACAAAGCGTTTTTTTGTCTCAACAGTTGTCGGTTACTAAGTCGTTTTCAACCATTTTAATGAAGTTCCTCTTTCAGGCAGACCCAGACAAACTGTTAGCTCTTGGTCCATGTTCTGTTTTATTTTTATTTTTTAATGCTAAACCTTCAGGTTTATGTGTGTCTGTGAAACTCTCACTTGCAGTACAGAAGTTAAGAAGTATTTGGTGGGTACAGGGACCTTAGCATATGTGTGCACAGTGTACTGCATGCCAGCTTACATTACAGGTTGTCCCAGGTTGTCTCGGTTCTTAAGTTGGGAGCAGGGGCGGACTGACCATTTGGAAACTCGGGCACTGCCCGAGGGCCCGGGGTCAGTAGGGGGCCCCATGAGATGCCCCTGGTACCTTTTTTCATAGGCTTTTTTGAGTTTGGGCAAGGACACAGGGGCCCCATGATCCCCTATTGCCCGGGGACCCCATGAGTTGTCAGTCCACCCCTGGTTGGAAGGGATGAAAAACATAGTGCAAGAGTAATCAGTTATTCTTGTAAGCTACCTGCATGCCTGACTAACCCACAACCCTCTCCCATCTCCTTCTTCCACACATACAACATACCTCCCAACTTTCTGAAATTAAAAAGAAAGGAACCTTTTAGCTCAAAATATGTAAGCAAAGCACGCACCCTGCCACTTCTCCATTATGTGGATTATGAAGAATTAGTGTGTAAATGATTGGTTAAGTCCACAAATGTCTCTGTTTGTCACCACTAGTTTTCATTTAGAGTTGGTTCACTCTGGAAAGCGCAAGCTCCTGTGCAATTTCAGCACGTGCTTGTACAGTCCGTTTTGATACTCCATTCCCATGCTCGCCTCCAGGACTTCTCCCGAGCTTCTCCCATCCTATGGAACTCCCTACCCCAATCTGTCAGTCTGCTAATCTGTCCACCTTTAGACAATCCCTGAAAACCTTTATCTTTAACCACGTGCCCTCCAGAGGATTTACGCCCCCTCCTGACCAGGCCATTTTTTGCGTTATGGCGCTGCATTACTTTAACTGACAATTGCATGGTCATGCAACGCTGCACCCAAATGAAATTTATGTCCTTTTTTTCCCACAAATTGAGCTTTCTTTTGGTGGTATTTGATCGCCTATGCGGTTTTTATTTTTGGCGCTATAGAAAAAAAAAGACCGACAATTTTGAGAAAAAAAACTATATTTTTGACTTTTTGCTATTAAACATGTCCTGTAAAAAAAATGTAAACAATAAAATGCTTTCATAAATTTACACCAAAATGTATTCTGCTACATGTCTTTGTTAAAAAAAATTCCCAATACTTGTAAATGAATTGGTTTACGTGAAAGTTATAGCGTTTACAAATGTATATATACTGGGATTTTTTCTTTATTTTAAATTTTTACTAGTAATGGATCAGCGACTAGATCAGTAACTAAATCAGCAACTTATAGTGGGACTGTGGCGGACATTCTGGCACTGGACTTGGTGTCACTGACTGACATCCACAGTGACACCAATACAGTGATCAGTGCTTAAAAAAAGCACTGACATTGTACTAATGGCATTGGGCAGGAAGGGGTTACCATGAGGGGCGATCAAAGGGTTAACTGTGTGCAGGGAATGTTTTACTAGGGGGCGGTGTCTGTGTGCTTCACATTAATCACACTGCTCTGGATGGCTGTGCTGTGCACAGCCATCCAAAGCAGTGTGCCCGAGCTGACAGGGAGGACAACCGTTAGTAAATAAAACAGTTCTGCTCGTTGGGCGCTGGCGAGTAATCACCAGCCAGGACCCGGTGATTGACAGTTGCGAATAGCAGCGCGGGTAGGGCTTGCGTGCGCCCTCTACCCAGAAATGCAAAATCACGTATATATGAGTGATTGTGCGCACCCGTGCTGCCCTGTAGCAGTATTTCTGCTATAAGGTGGACGGGAAGCGGTTAAAGAAGCCTATCCTACTTCTAACTAGTAAACTGCCTTTTATTTCCTCCATCAGCTCATTCCCACAGCTATTACCTTTTGTATCACTCAACCCTTCCTCCTAGATTGTAAGTTCTAACGAGCAGGGTCCTCTGTTTCCTCTTGTACCAAATTGTATTGTAACTGAAATTTCTATCTTCATTTTGTAAAGCGCTGCGTAAACTGTTGGCGTTATTTAAATCCTGTGTCATAAAATAGTGCCGCGCACTAAATGAATTATATGAATTAAAACATCCAAACCATGTGATTAGGCAACAATGGTGAATACACTGAATACAACTTGAAAGTCCATAATGTGTGCTTGATCCATGCGTTTATAATTTGTTCACAAGACAGGTGCTCTTTATTGCTTATATCCACATATATTCCTAAAGGTGCTCCTCCACCAGAGACATACATATATACTCTCACCTCCATTTATGACCCAAATTGCATAGGTCAAATACCGCCTATCCCTTTTAACCCGGGTAGGTATACTGCAAAGATGACTCCACTTTCCTTCTCACTGAGCTGCAAATGGTACCGCCTCCTCTTTATCCCACAGATCCTCCGCATGTGTAAACAGAAACACTTGCCATAGTGTAGTATATATAAATATAGCGTGAATTAGCGTGATTTATTAAAAAAGAGTCCCATAAAAGCTGTAAAAGCAATAATTTATGCTCTCTGGCTGCATTCTTGCAGCCATTGAGAAATACTGTGAGAGATGTGATTGGTCACAGCTTGTCACATGGTACAAGGCTGTTGTGAATAGCCTTGTACCATGTGACCTCTGTGATCATTTACAGATTTCACAAGTAGTAAGCAATGATGTCAGGAAGTGACATCTTGTTTACTACTATTCATGTGATCACTGATTGGCCAATCAGTGATCACATGATCGGGACCTGACACAGAGGTCCCGTACAGCGATCGGTGTTCTGCTGTGTCCTCGCGGTGCTGCGCACTCCCAGGGAGCATGCACAGGCAGGGAATGCGGGGGCCGTTTAGAAATGGCGACCCGCTTTGGCACTGCTCCCATCCAGCTGTTTATGTACATGGGGCGGATGGAAAGTGGTTAAGCAAATGATGTCACACATCCCAGGAGCCTGCAGGAGGAGAGGGAGAGTTCTAACCTCAACCAATGCCTGAGCTATGGGCAGATGGATTCCTGGAAGTAAATGCTACCTGAATCATCTGCCCTTACTCAAGACGGCCACTACCAGAAATGCCAGGGGGTGTTTTTCAAAATGAATTCTCAGCAAAATAAAGCATGGAGACATGGATGGATGGGGGAGTTTGCTTTGAATATTAAACATGAATGAAATAGCTTTTTTGGTTTATGGTGCTCAGATGCAGTGCAGCTCCACTTTAAGTTTTACATAACAGTTTTTCAATGCCCTTCTCTCATATATTACTCAGCATTTCATTTGGCATTACAGGGACAGGAAAAAAACTCTAAATGAAGGTGTTAAAGTTATACTATAGGTGTGTCGGTTTAATTTGTGGTACTAATGCTAAGTGGCACCTTGTGAGATAGGTTGAGGTTCCGAGCTTGCCACAACCAGCATAATGTCGGTGCAATACACCTCACCCTAACTCCTAGGCTGAACATGTCAGAAAATAGGCCAAGCTTGTAAAATCTCAGTGCTATCATGTCATTGTCCTTTCTTTCATAATAATTTTATGTGAGATTTGCTTATTATGTCGTTTTATTGCATTAGTTAAATATTTTTAGACTGTAGAGGTGTATGCTTTGTAAAATATAATATTATTACTTTGACAATTAAAAAGTCAGTCCACCTAAAAGTGTTATTTTAACTATAGGTGGAGTCCGATGGATTTTGTAACTTACATGGTTTGTATTTTTCTGAAGGACTTTAGAAGAAAAAAAATCCTTCTATACAGTAGTTTCCTGTCCTGCAAAAACAAAATACAGCAGGGAGGTGTTGATAAATTGCAATGATAGGTGTATGAACCTGTAATTTCAAGTGTAAAAATGTGTCCTTTGGGTGAGTATGTAAACCCAACCTTTCATATTCCTGATATGTGTCTGCTGTACCATCTATTTGTATGAAAAAGTATCCTGTTCCCATCATATTGCTTCGTTTGAAATCCCTGGTGTTCCTGCTAGTCCCTCTGCTTTACCATTAAAAAAGGAACAAACTTAACAGGAGAAGACTGGTTAGTTTTCTAGCTGTGCTGGGAACACGGCCTGCTCTCCTCCAATGATCAGACTTGTCCTGGCACACCACCCCTCTGCACAGCCATTCACTGAGAAGATCAGCGTACTGCTGTTTCTCCTCCCCTAGCTCTTACGTAGTTGAGAGCAGAGGGAATGTGATCCCCTAAAAATGGAAAAAAAGGTATTTATAATGTTTTTGGATGTATTTACAAAACTTTTGCCTTTCATTTCTATTTTAAACTTAATGGGTTGTTTTACAAGGTGAGAGTTTACAACCACTTTAACTCTCCAGCATCCACTAAAAACTGAAATGTCATTCTTGGTTGGACTGACCAACTTGTGCTCCAGCAATTAGAAAACTGTATAACACCCAAGACATGTTCTAATACAAATCACATACACAGGGTCATTCAACAAAATGTTTCTGGTGGTTCCCTAAAGAACTACCTGTGCCTATTTCAGACAAGCATTTGCACTAATGTTGATAGTATTACTGACACGTGGCAAACTAAAGGTAGTTCTTATTCTCGGCTACTTGAGAAACCATTCACTGTGGCACCAACGGATTCCTAAAGAATTACCACCAGTTCTCAGATTAGGTAATAATTAACCACTTCAATACAAGGCACTTATTTTTTTTCTTGCCAAGGCCAGTTTTCAGGTTTCAGCGCTCTCACATTTTGAGTGACAATTGCACGGTTATACAACACTGTACCCAAACTAAAATTTTATCATTTTCTTCACACAACTAGAGCTTTCTTTTGGTGGTATTTAATCACCGCTGGGGTCTTTATTTTTTGCTTAATTAACAAAAAAAGACCAAAAATGTTGGAAAAAAACAAGTTTTTCTTTGTTTCTGTTATAAAAGTTTGCAAATAAATAATTGTTCTTCATAAATTTAGGCCAAGATGTATTCTACTACATGTCTTTGGTGAAAATAACCCAAATTAGTATTTATTATTTAGTCTGTAAGAAAGTTATAGAGTTCACAAACTATGGGATAGATCTGAAAATTGACCAATCCTGAAGTACTGACAGCCAATCTAATTTCTTGAGGGTCAAGAATGTCAGAACAGTACAGATATCCTTTTTGCATAGTAGACAGTCCGAAGTACTTCATAAAAGTTTTTTGAAGTTGTAATTTTTTTGTTATAATTTTTCGGAAATGAACAATTGAGTACTGTCCGTGATACTTTTTTATTTGCACTAACATACAATTTTGAGGACAAGCTTTGGGGGTATGTCCCCTTCTTCAAGGTCCGAGCAGTACTATTACAATGTTTTAGCAGAATGTTAGAAGTTGGAGATGAGAAAAAAAAAAGCAGAAAGAAACACATGCCTAGGGTTAAACTAAAGACAAGATACAGCAAAGCAAAAGCAAAGACTGGGGGGGGGAGGAGAACAACAATCACAGAGAGAAATGAAGAAATTAAAAAAATGATTTTCATGTTTTTGTTTTTTTTTTACATACTGTCACCAGTGTAGTACAGCATCATCATATAACTGGCATTGCGGTGATCAGGGACACTGACTGGTGACAGTACGAAAAAATAAAAATTATAATTTTTAAAAAAAAATTTTATTACATTTTTTTTTTCTCTTTTTTTAAGATTTCTTTTGATATTACACTATGACCAAAGTAGTATAATGTTACCATAGTAACATTGTACTACTTTGGGGAAGTGATCAGTATTTTTTTTTGCTTTTTTTTTACACAATTTGCTTATAGCAAAGAATTTCTTTGCTATAAGCAAACATTTACCTGAATTAAATCGATTAGTTCAGGGTTTTTTCGTTTGCTTGGCTGTGATTTGGCCACAGCTAATCACATGACACAGCTGGGCTGTGATTGGCCCAGCTTGTGCATGTGATCGCTGTGACCATTCACAGCTAGACACACTTGTATACGATGTATGGCATGAAAGGAAGCCATCCATTGTATACAACTGTCATGTGACCTGCTGCGACTGGTCACAGCAGGTCACATGGTACTGGCAACAGGACCGGTACACAGATCTGTCATCGGCCGTGTCCGAGATACACATCCGGTGACAGATCGCACCGCTGCGTGGCCCTGCGGGCAGGCGCAATGTGCGTGCCTGGAAGGATGCCATATGGCGTCTACCCGGAGGGATGAGCTGTTCCCATAGCCAGATGGCAGCAGGGTGGCAACTGTCTAAGACTAGCTCTAAGATACCGTACAGAGGTAGTCCAGTACTCAGAGTGGGGTGTGGCTGTACCGTGAAGCTGCCATTAAAGTGGCAACTTCCGGCCCAGTACTGTATCCCCTCTTCCATTCAGTGGTTAGCTGAAAGCTAGATGTAAACAAAGGGGCTGGGGATAGAGGTGGCGTCAGTACCCAAATATAGCAAAGCCCATATTTGGGAAATGACTTGTCTCTGAGTGGGCAGACACTGATGGGGAACTGAGAGACTAGTTCCCCTGTCACAAGTTAGCCTGCAGTTTCTTGTTTGTGTATTCTTACCTCCTTGCTGCAGTGCTGTTCCTGATCCCTTTCACGTGTGTGTTTGTCTGTGCTCACCTATGGGCGTCATCTGCTGTTCTCTGGGTTTTAATTCCTTCCTTCCATCACTTCCTCCTTGTTTGCCTGCCTATATAAGACATGCTCAGTCTAGGCCACTTTGCCTGAGCAACTTCCTAGTTGTTGGAGCTCCTGTGTGTTGCTATTGCCTGTATCCTGCATTGACTACTTGTGTACCGACCTCGGCTTCGTTCTCTGACTGTGCTTGTTTTCCGGCTGTCCTGACCTTGGCTAGTCTATCGGATTTCCGTTTGTCTCCTCCCATTGTACTCTGCTCCTGCAAGCGGTCTCCTCATCCTCAGCTGGGCGTACCTGGGGGCCTCTACCTGGTCCCAGCTTGTTGCAAGTCCATCCCCACCATCAGGGGCTCTGGTGAAGAAGCAGGCTGGGGCTTAGACTCCGTGCCCTGGGGAACCCCAAGTTGTCTACAAGGGCTCACTACCACAGGTGCTGACATCCCCATCAGGTTCACTTAACACATTGACAGCGCATGGCAGTGGGTGGATTTGAAAGACGCCATTGGACTTAATAACAGCTATGGGTCTGCCCACTGTCATGCTCTGTCAATCAAAAGTACTGTAAAGCTCATGTGGAACTAGTCTCTTAGTCTATCAGGTTATGTCCATCCCTAGTACAATATTTCTTGGCCATATGGCTGTTAGTGTGACGGGCACAGTGCCCATGGAGGGAGTCAACTGAAGGCCTCATCAACAGATTCATGACAGGAACATGAATTGGATACTTTCAGTGCTGTGTCCTGACTTGATGTCTACAACACCCTTTATGAATTCACCAGTCAGTCCTTTGTCTATATCATCCCACAATGCACAGCATGCTTAAATCTGAATGCTTTTCTGTGAACACACACTTTCATTATATCTTTATAACATAAGGAAGTTTCCCGAAAAAGTGATTTTTAACACAGCATCTAGTAAGTCATTGGAAGTTGTAAGTAAGTGACCAGTGACTAGTAGAGTCACTGTGTATTATTCTCCTATGGCAATGCCAGGGGGTGTAATATGAGAAAATGCTTCCTCCTTCCTGCAGCAGACTGATGACATCATTCTGCCAGATTGTATCTCTCAGTATAGGTG